GAGAGAGAGAGAGAGAGAGAGAGAGAGAGAGAGAGAGAGAGAGAGAGAGAGAGAGAGAGAAGGAGAGGGAGGAGGAGAAGAGACAGATAATACCGAATATTCGCACGGAATACTGCTCTACGCTATTCTGATTATAATAAGACAAAGTGCGTAGCAGATCAGAGTCTTGACTTCCACGGTCCCACATCAATTTCAAATTACAAATACTTCTGAGACGCGGAACTGTCACACCTTGCCTCCGTCATTCCCGTATCCTCGTGCGCGATCAATGAAAGAAATCTCACAACAAGCGACCACCGGAACAATTCTCCGCAACCGCGTATAAATCATACGCGTTCCTCCAAGTGTGACACGACGGAGAAGCGTGTCTCAGTGCGCAGTTTTTATCTTGACTTCGGACAACGCGGATTTCTGGGTGAAGCCGCGAGAATGTACAAGATACGTCGGACTCACGAGAGATCGTTGTCGCGGCGAGTCGGTTCCATTCTCCGTGATGACAGGGAAGATACGATGGTCCGGATGTTGATGCTGTTGCTGCGACTGCAGGAGGTAGTTGTGACGACGGTAGTGGTGTTGGTGGCCGACCAGAGTGTTGGTCGCGGTAGTAGCTCGCATATAATGTGGTGAGACTCGTTCGCCGCGCACGCGCAAGCTGGCAGAACGATGCAGGGCTGTCGGCGACGGCCTTGGTATACGGGAATCCGACGAAGACGGTGTCGAGGAGGTAGCGGCTGCTCGTAAGAGATTCTAGTTAATAATGTATAAGCGGCAGAAAGAACGAAGGTGGGAACGAAAAAATCAATGATGATCAAGCGAGAGACAGATCGGTCGATCTTCGGAGATCAGGCTGAAACTGAAGAGCTCGACGATACTTTGACACACTTTTCGAGCAACTTTGCGGAAACTGGAGAGATAGTCTCTTTAATCGCGAGATAGATAAGTTTTCTTGGGACATTTGATTAAGATTGGATTGGATTGCCGTCACGATGAAATCTTCAGTTGCAACCTAGCGCGTTTTTCGAGGTACGTATCGATTAGATATCTTTGAATTTCGGACTTCTATTCATCAGACAACTTCGACAATCCATTGAAAAAAAGCACCAGGTAATTTACATGACACGTTTAACGTCGTAAGGACTTTGTTAATGTCGTGGGAGACTACACGAAGAGAGAAATTGTGTTACATCTCCTTAATCAAATTCCATTATCGATATGTCTGTAAACGTGTCTGCAAACATGTCTGTAAACGTGTTTTCTGAGATATCAAATGCGTATAATCAATTTTCTCTCGAGATGCTTTAACCTTAAGTGCTTCTCATTGTCCAAATTATTTATCAAAGCTCCGTAAAAGCGTTAGATATAATATTGTTCTTTGAATAATAATACTGAATAATAAAATATTATATTGGGTGAGTCAAAAAATTCGGTTCGATTCTGTAGCTCCTCGATGGCCACCTTCTATGATGAAGATATATATAAATGCTGTTAGAATATTGACAAAGAATTATAGATAACTACAGCTGTTACTTGATTGATGAATAATTTGTTCTTATTGAATACAACAAAGTTAAATTTAATCCAAAAGTTAAATCAAGCTTTTCAACTGATTCAATACAAATATACAGAATAATAATAAAACTGATGTGTTTCGCAAAAATCATATTAGAGAGTTGATATACTACTCCGAATAATAAAAGAATCAGATTCTTTTGGACGGTTCTCTAATTAACTTAATGGTAATTAATACAGAAAAATATGTAGTTTATATATCCGCAGATCTATTATAAGTTTATAATAAGCATCAAATTTATTCAAAACATATTCTGAATTCTAGTAAGTTTAACATTCAATCAAAGAATTTATTAAAATAAAAATTCGATAAAGTTTTATGGCATTTTTGTAAAGAAAATAAATTTTTCTCCCGCGAGAGTACGTGATAATGAGCTTCTATAAAATTTGTTATAACAAGAAAATTTGTTAAAACAAGAAAATATTCTTTGTTAATGATAATCATTAAGCATTATTCTTCTTAGCAGTAGGATGATATTTTTTGCGTATATCAATTACAATGGCTAAAATATCGTGTCAATTAAATAAATATATTACATTAGTGCAAAAGTGTAAAAGTTTGTCGTGTTTGTCAAATAAAATAGAAAATAAAATTATTTCATTTCGAAGCATTTTTAATTCTTTACGAATAAAATGAGTAACATTAACTCGATATTTTTCTGGACATCTAACGAGGATTTCCTACTTTCCTTTTGATACTAAAACTTCTTCTAGGGAATTTTAATAGAAAAATGACAAATCTTTAACACTAATCTAATATTATATAGAGTTATGAGAAGCACTCTGAAACGAAGATATCCAGATAATGTTGACGCTTGAAGTCGCGGTTCTTTAATTATTCGGAGCGGTGCACACTTTTCTTTTCAACAATCACAATCACATAATTAGTTTGTAGAGGAAATCTTTGTGAACAGTTTTGACTTACATAGAGGACAGTTTTGACTTACTTTCAGGTGTTGTAGTGTTCGACACGTAGGTAGGACTGGCAGTGGCAGTGACACTGACTGGACTGACAGGACTGACTGGACTGACAGGACACATTGTCGTTGGCGTGGGAGGCGTCGACATGGAGACAACGAAAGGAGCTGAATCGACCGACAGTCCCAAAAATGGAGAATGCAGAGAGCTTTCGCTTTCGTAATGAGCCATATTGTTTATCCAGTTCATCTTAACGCACGATAACTAATACCTGTAAGATAAAAAGGTATCATATTAGACAAATAAAAACGTTCGTCCACCGAAATATTTAAATGATTGTCGGCGGTTTTGTCTGATCTGAGATAACATTGCCCTCAATTAAGAGCGTCAGCACATAAAGCGTCGTTCACTTGCAAAAATTGTGAAAAGACAAAACAAGTTTCAGAGATCGGAACACAATGACAATTTGCAATCTGAAATTTCAACACGAAGTAATCAAAACTCGACACGAAAGGTTTGTTTTTTATCGCGAAACTAGTTTTTTGTAGCGAAACACTTACGTAACTATAAAAGAAATAGTTATACAGTTGAGACTTGATAGAAGAAAGACGACAGGAAAACTAGTGCAAGTTGGTGCAAGTAGTTTAGTCATTCAGCAAAGCAAGTCTAAGATACGTCGTTTAAACGGTATTCTTTCTATACAAATGACTCGATTTCGCGACTCATTGTGTATCTGTAGCTGCACAATCGGTTGCATATTGTAAGGTACTTAAACCAGGATTCGTTTGACGGCTGAAAGACGTAAATGTGCCGGTTATTCAGCGTTATCCAACGGCGGATCCTTTCTATTGACACGACTGTGCATTCAATCCTCGCAAAGAGGCGAAAAAAGAGACTGCGCTTTAAGCCCATGAAGTGCAACAAAACGATTCGTATTCATTACCGACGCGGAACCTGACGCCTCACCGAGTCTGTGTTCGAATTCTATTGGTACGATGCGTCTTGTTATTATTCGTAATATTCGGCAATTTCGCCCGCTGCTGAAGACAGTGTCTCTCGCGCCATAAATTTACGTTCACTGGAGTATCATTTTACAAGCGCTCCGATATTTACAATTTCATTGATGGAATGGAAACATTTAGACGCGTTATCGTTGCTATTATAGCGTTATCATATCGAAAACGCGGCACGCACATTTCCTAGCGTACAAAGACTACATCGGCTCCTGCGACACAACGTTGCCCTCATCCCGGCTTGCTTTTCAGAAATCCCCCTTCCTGAAACGAACAATTCATCCCTCGGCAAACTGACAGGGGAAGTATCGCCCGAGGTCGAGGACATATCGATTGAACGAAGCGTTGCCGTACGCTGAACCTGACTCGGCTTACCTATCGAACACATTCTTTCGTTTCGTATTCTCCGTAAATTCGGCCGAGTGTTTCGAGCGACTTTGTCTTCTCCCGAGACGCGTTAATTCGAACGATCTAAGCTGTCTAAACTATTATATTGTCCAAGTATTTAAATGATATAATAGGTATCTAAATTATTATAATGCGAAGTTAAGTAAGCTTAGATAATATAAAATATAAACTATTGTATATTATAAGCGCACTAGTTAATGTCTAACTATTTTCTAAACTATTTTCTAGATATTAGTTATTGTCTGACTGTTATTTAAGTTATTATCTAAGTGCAGAATACAGAGTGAAATATATTGCAATTCATCACGCTGTAAACAAATTGGCAGAATTTTTGTAAATATACATAGAAAAATATCATTCTACTACTAAGAAAATCGATTATTCGGTTTACTTTCTTTTCTTTAAACAATGGTTTTCTTCAACAAAGAATATTTTCTTCTTTTGATAGTTTTAATATGCCAAGTTTTAGAAAAGCTCATTATCACATACTTAAAAGAAGAATTCTTTCTGTTTACGAAAATATCAAATTTTATCGAACAAAAAGTTTATTTCATTCCATTCCGTATTCGAAGCAAACTGAATTTTTGTTCTAATTTAATATTCTTCATTGAAATGCTAAATTTACTAGGATTCAGAATATTTTTGGAATGAATTTGATATTTATAATGAACTATCATGATAGATTTGTGGATATATAAATTTATAAAATATTTGCAACAAGTAACATTTACTCAGTAGTACGTATTCTTCTGTGTATAGAAATCACATATATATAACGTAATCGTAGCGAGCTGACATAAACAAGTTAACCGAATGCTTTCCATTGTAGACACACGCTCGTAAATAGACATTCGAATTACAGAGATCCTGCTACAGTGAAATCGCTCTGTTACACGAGGGATGAACGCGACTCTCGCGAATAACAGCGATGCGCGACTATGAATCGCCATTTTTTCACGAATACCCACTATCGACGCGACCTCGGCTAATTCATATAATCAGTGAGTGCATTAAGCATGCCACGCGATAGTTAACTTCGCGTGTGTTTCGTCCTTGCACGCGGAAGCCGAATACGAGACCGTAATTTCGCGACGCAAGTTTGCCGGTTTTGCGAAAAGTGACGTCAAGGCAATCGTGAAAAAAACCGCAAACGCGATTGCTTAACTTCGATTCTTTCTTTCGAAAACGTCCACGCGAAAACTTCACGCGGGAATTCTCGTCGAACAAGTTTATTTTAGAGCGGTTGAAAATAACGAGCACCTCCCTCGCGGGTGGAAGATTTTCAGAGTCCACTTTTTCCTATTTTTAGTGAAAGCTATGCGAAACGAATTTCAGTGTAGAAGCGTGAACGCGAGTTATGTAAAGCTCGAGCACGATTTCAACAGCTGTTGCGAAAGCGACGCGAAAACGCGGAATCGCGTTGAATTCGTTGACTCCGCGCGATATATCTCGGACAACTTCGAGATAGTCGAAATAAAGTGAAGGGCGCGAAGTGAGACGGTGTCTTATCGAAATAAAGTAATCGATCAGCTCGCGTTCTATTTCAAGGATACGGCTGCGGCATTATGCAGCGTTTACTCGTCGGCCAACGGCGCGATTTTACGCCAATCGTTGGTAAAGGCGATCCGATAACGCGCTCATAAATAACTCCGCGCGGGAAAGGTATTTGTTTTGAGGCCTCCTCGGTCTCCTCGCCGCGAAACTTCCGATTTATGACGTCAGAAGCAAGAAAATGCACGCTAAAAATTCTTGCAAAATATACGTCGAAATAGGAAAAGATGTGTCCATCAAACGACACTTGCAGTCGATCGAGCAAATTTGCAAAATAATTCGGGCACTTTCCTTTTGTTCGAACAATCGACAAATAACTGTAAAATTACTATTACATTCCTTCCTTTTTAGCCTACCTTCTCTCACGATTTTGTCTCGTTTATTTTACGGCTCTGCTCGATCGATTGCAAGTATCATTTTGTAAACATCATTTTATTTCAACGTATCTTGCGAGAATTTTTAACGCGTATTTTTTCGCTTCTGATGTGATAAATCAAGATGACTGCGGCGGGAGATCAGAAGCCTACATGTGCGCATGATATACTATCTTTCATCTGTATTGCTCCTTTACGCCTTTAGCCGGAAGTACAATAACACGCGACTGTAATAATCCGTTTGCTCGGGGGAAACTCACGCTGAATGGATTATTGCGCTGAATTATCTAAACCGTACGTAAGAGTATGTAGCCGAAGTATCGCGTTCGCGCAAATATTTTCATTAAAGGTGAAGACCAAATATGCAATACAAGAAAAAGAGAGAGGTATTTGACATTTTAAATACCCGTTGGCGAATAAGCATCTAATTGACTGCTGAAAATTTGGATATTTTATGTGCTGAAGTGAGGTGATGTATCCAATACTAACAGGCGGAACATGAATAATTTCTCCATAATGCGCAACATGTGTACAAGTAATCAATACTGATGTTAATCGATCATAAGATTTTATTTCGGACGGATAACCGCG